AAATTTTACATAAATTTATTATAATAAAAATTTGTTATCTAAATAGAATTTATATATAAATTTATATATTAAAAATTGTAACCATTTAAAAAATATTTTTTTTAATTTTAAATTAGTATTAAAATAAATTATTATTTTTCGATTGGACTATTTTTTTTTTTTAAAAAAAAAATCTGTTCTGTATTTTATATTTCGTTTTCGATAAAACTTTAATATATTATTTTATTTATTATAAACCTAACATTGAACACCCGTTCACCACCAAAAAAAAAAAAAATTTACTGTGCAGAAAAAAAATTTTAATCGCACAAATTTTACGTGTCTCTCTGTGCTGTATATTTTTTCGTTTCAAGATTCGGATAAGTATTTTCGCTTCTTCTGTTCCTCCACTTTTACTTCCGTTCCTCCCGTTCCTTCGCTTTTGTCTGTTTCTCCGCTCATGTTCATACCCTTTCCCTCTCTTTTTCTCCCGTTCCCCTCGCTTCTATTTCCATTCTTGATCCCGCTCCCATTCTTGATCCCGTTCCCACTCTTGGTCCTGCCCTCACTCTTGATCCCGTTCCCTCTTTTGATCCTGTTCCCTCTCTTGATCCCGTTCTCTCTCTTGATCCTATTCTCTCTCTTGATCCCGTTCCTTCGCTCGATTCCGTTCCCTCGCTCGATCCCGTTCCCTCGCTCTTGCTCCATACCCATTCCGTTTCTTTTTCGCCCATTCTTGCTTTCCTCCACTTTGCTCCAATTCCCGCTTTCGCTTGTTCCCCGCTTGTATTCATACCCTTTCCCTCTCTTTTTCTCCCATTCCCCTCGCTTCTATTTCCATTCTTGATCCCGCTCCCATTCTTAATCCCGTTTCCACTCTAGGTCCCACCCCCACTCTTGATTCCATTCCCTCTCTTGATCCCGTTTCCTCTCTTGATCCTGTTCCCTCTCTTGATCCCGTTCCCTCTCTTGATCCCGTTCCTTCGCTCGATCTCGATCCCGTTCCCTCACTCGATTCCGTTCCCTCGCTCTTTCTCCATACCTATTCCGTTTCTTTTTCACCCGTTCTTGCTTTCCTTCACTTTGCTCCTGTTCCCGCTTTCGCTTATTCCCCGCTCGTGTTCATATCCTTTCCCTCTCTTTTTCTCCCGTTCCCCTCGCTTCTATTTCCATTCTTGATCCCGCTTCCATTCTTGATCCCGTTTCCACTCTTGGTCCCGCCCCCACTCTTGATCCTGTTCCCTCTCTAGATCCCGCTTCCATTCTTGATCCCATTCCCACTCTTGGTCCCGCCCCCACTCTTGATCCTGTTCCCTCTCTTGATCCCATTCCCTCTCTTGATCCCGTTCCCTCTCTTGATCCCATTTCTTCACTCGATCCCGTTCCCTCGCTCGATCCCATTCCCTCGCTTTTGCTCCATACCCATTCCATTTCTTTTTCGCCCGTTCTTGCTTTCCTCCACTTTGCTCCCATTCCCGCTTTCACTTGTTCCCCGCTCGTGTTCATACCCTTTCCCTCTCTTTTTCTCCCGTTCCCCTCGCTTTTATTTTTATTCTTGATCCCGCTTCCATTCTTGATCCCGTTTCCACTCTTGATCCCGCTCCCACTCTTGATCCTGTTTCCTCTCTTGATCCCGTTCCCTCTCTTGATCCCGTTCCCTCTCTTGATCCCGTTCCTTCGCTCGATCCCGTTCCCTCGCTTGATCCCATTCCCTCGCTCTTGCTCCATACCCATTCCATTTCTTTTTCGTCCGTTCTTGCTTTTCTCCACTTTGCTCCCATTCCCGCTTTCGCTTATTCCCGCTCGTATTCATACTCTTTCCCTCTTTTTTTCTCCTGTTCCCCTTGCTTTTATTTCTATTCTTGATCCCGCTTCCATTCTTGATCCCGTTCCCACTCTTGGTCCCGCTCCCACTCTTGATCCCGTTCCCTCTCTTGATCCTGTTTCCTCTCTTGATTCCGTTCCCTCTCTTGATCCCATTCCCTCTCTTGATCCCATTCCTTCGCTCGATCCCGTTCCCTCGCTCTTGCTTCATACCCATTCCATTTCTTTTTTGCCCGTTCTTGCTTTTCTCCACTTTGCTCCCATTCCCGCTTTCGCTTGTTCCCCGCTCGTGTTCATATCCTTTCCCTCTCTTTTTCTCCTGTTCCCCTCACTTCTATTTCCATTCTTGATCCCGCTCCCATTCTTGATTCCGTTCCCATTCTTGATCTTGTTTCCACTCTTGATCCCGCCCCCACTCTTGATCCCATTCCCTCTTTTGATCCCATTCCCTCTCTTGATCCTGTTTCTTCGCTCGATCCCGTTCTCTCGCTCTTGCTCCATACCCATTCCGTTTCTTTTTCGCCCGTTCTTGCTTTCCTCCACTTTGCTCCCATTCCCACTTTCACTTGTTCCCCGCTCATGTTCATACCCTTTCCCTCTCTTTTTCTCCCGTTCCCCTCACTTCTATTTCCATTCTTGATCCCGCTCCCATTCTTGATCCCATTCCCACTCTTGGTCCCACCCCCACTCTTGATCCCATTCCCACTCTTGATCCCGTTCCTTCTCTTGATCCCGTTCCCTCTTTTGATTCCATTCCTTCGCTCAATCCCGTTCCCTCGCTCTTGCTCCATACCCATTCCGTTTCTTTACTTTCATTCCATTCTTGCTCGTTCGTGTTTAATAACTATATTTTACTCCTTTTTTACCTTTCCAACATGCAGGTATCTCTGGCAGTATCACGATTATGGATCGAAGCAAGAAACAGCAAGGCAAGTATCACCAACCGAGGAGCAGCCAGGCAAGAGCCGCGGCAGCTACTGAACCTGTCTTGCTAGTACCAGGGAAGCTTGCAGGTATACGATCCCTCTTGGTGCAGGTTGCTCATAGCCTACAAAGCGAGAGTTTATTGTATGCCATGGCATGTAACTCTTGCAGCATGTATGACTCCTTCTGGCCTATATTAGCAAATGATCAGAGCATATGCATGTGCTGCTAGTTAGCATGACAAAGTGTTGCAGCATGTGTAACCTCTCCTGGTCTGCATTAGCAAATAGTTGAAGCATACACATATGCTATTAGCTAGCATGTTAAAGTGTTCTAAGTACAAAAAAAATCAAAATGTGATAGCTATATTGATTGAATAACTTGATATATGCAGATTTTAAAATGAAGAAATTTTTGATCACTATTTCTTGGAGCTGAAACAAGAGCAGGAAACAAGAGAAAGGCAACAAAAGTGGAAAATAAAAGAAAGGCAACAAGAGTGGGAACATAGTAAAAAAATAAAAGAAAAGAAAAGGAATAAATACGAAAAGCAGAAAAACAAGTAAAAGCAGGAATGGGAATGGAAGCAAAGTGAAGAAAAGCAAGAATGGGAGAAAAAGAAAAGGAATGGGTATGGAGCAAGAGCAAGGGAACAGGATCAAGAATGGAAACAGAAGCAAAAGAATGAAAGAAAAAGAGAAGGAAAGAATATGAACAAAAGCAAAGAAATGGATAAAAGCGAAAGAACGGAAGCAAAAGTAGAGAAACAGAAAAAATGAGAAGGAATAAATATAAAGCAAGAGTGGAGAAATGAGTAAGAGCGGAAAACAGAAAAAAGGTAGCAGGAATAGAAGTAAAAGTAAAGAAACAGAAGAAGCAAAAATACTTATTTGAATCTTGAAATATAAAAAATATTCAATACAAAAAGATATGATAAATTTTTTTTTGTGGTAAATGGATATTCAATGTCAAGTTTATAATAAATTAAATAATATATTAAAGTTTCATCAAAAACAAAATATAAAATATGGAAAAAAAACTCTTTCCCAAAAATCACAAATTTCTAAAAATTTTCTTTTTTGAAAACACATAAAGAACACTTCAAGAAATATCAAAAAAAGCTTTCTAGAAAACACCTACTAGACCTGTGGATCCATAGCACAGTGGTTAGTGCTCCACAGATCAGATCACAAAATACCAGTTCAACCCCAGGTGAAGGCGGTTAAATAGACTTAATATGGTATCTGGCACTATAACCAATTATATGCTGTTTCTCATGAGAAGCCGTTTCACATGCCAATTCGGCAGGCGTTGAGATTGTGATCTCCTCGTTAAAGATGTAGTGATGTGACGATCGTCCGGATGGTGTATAATGATCGTCTACGAAAGGAGCCATAGAACCACCCATATATTTGGATATACAGACTGGGCTGTATTCCATCTTAACCAATCCCAAGCCGCCAATCCCTTTACTGCCAACTGTCAAATAAGGAAGCTTTGAAGAAGATCACTGTATCATCATCACTCTTGTAAGGTTCGGCTAACCATGGCTCTAGATTTGGTAGCCTAAGCCAACCGGTTTGAATCTGGATTGTCTACTAGGAGATTAAGGAGCATCGGTCTGTCACTGATAGACTAGACCCTTAAGGAGTCATACCCCAATTGGCCATATGGCCTCTAGATTTGGTAGTGTCCAACCAGCAGTCAAAACCGGAGCAATTCACTAGGGAACACATCCGACGGAGGTTAAGAGCCAAAGCATGAGCTGTATAAGTGAAAAGGTGTGATGTGATAAGTAACCTTAGGGAATAGTTAGCAGTCCCACTGCCCTCTTACAAAATTGGACCGGTAGGTTAGGTGGTTTAAACTAGTGGTAGGACTTCCATCCCCTAGATAGGTCCCCCCAAAAATATAAGCCCATTTCAAGAATGGCACTTGTATCACTGGGGCAATAAAAGTAGATAGGCTAGCATTTAGCTGTTGTGATACAATAGAGGATGTTTGATGTATATGTATAAAATTGATGATTCAATAAAAACCAGTATATCTAATGCCGTTCTACTATAAAAAAAAAAAAAAGAAAAACATCTACTAAAAAGAAATACTCTACTGCTTCCTTCCAAAACAAAGAGGATACATAATATAGATATATATTGGATTTAAAGGAATACTAACTTTTTCTTTTATTTTTACAAATAGACACATACTTGTTTTTTCTTGCTGGGAAAGAAAGAAAAACAAAGAATACAATTCACAATAGAATAAAGAAAAAAGTCAGCACCGCACTTCACAAACTATTAGTCAGTCATGCACCAGGTTAGATACCTTCCTAGATACTAGCAGGACTAGGTATCAGCCAGATCATATCCGATAAACCAGGCAATCTCACTACTGATATAAAGTCAGAAGGGTACCAAGATTTTCTCAAAACTATGGATAAAAAGAAAAGAATAAATCAAAACAATATTATAACATAAACAACAACTATCGTGCGAGGAAAATTTTTCTGACATCAAAAACCAGAATCAGCTTATCCCCTCCTAAAGATTGACAGTAATACAAATACGTATTTTCCATATCAAACAAACACGTCAAATTTTGGGCTTCAAAGCAAAATGTATATAAGACAAACAACATATAATCAAGAAAGCAATATGTAATGGTTCAAGAGAAATTCATGGTCATCATCAATAGTTTATCATTAATTAAGGAAAACTTTATTAATATAAAAGTGGAGCAGACAACTCTAAAGATAATTAAAGGAAAAATACAGCCTTTAAATACATGTTTTCCCAACATAAATAAAT